ATAAGTACCTGTAATAATAATAATAATAATAATGGAGGCAAATCAGGGAAACAGAGACGACATCATGTAATGACATGACCGCCTGCTGAAAACAGAACAGGTTTACAGGCTGATATTATGAACCAAAATAAAGTCATTTGGCTGAATGTCTAATATGCCAATAGTCTATGGGCATTGGTCTACTACACCAAACATTTGCAATGTGGGACCTGAATCAAAATATCCTAAGTAGAAAAAGGAAGAAAGGACAAAAAATGTATGTATACTTACTAAGTAATATAAATCAAAGGAACACAGATTGTGTACGGGACCTCCTGTGTGATCTGATTGGCCAATCAGTGATCACATGAATAGTAAACAAGATGCCACTTCCTGACATCATTGCTTACTACTACTAGAAATCTGTGAATGATCACCAAGGTCACATGGTACAGGGCTATTCACAACAGCCTTGTGCCATGTGATAAGTTGTGACCAATCACAGCTCTCAAAGTATTTCTCAATGGCTGCAAGAATGCAGCCATAGAGAAGGAGAAATAATTGATTTTACAGCCTTTATGGGTGTAAAAGCAATCAGTGTAAAAAAAAGAAAAACAAAGCCTTCATCACCCCCCAAGTAATACAGTGTCACATTGTACTGCTAGATTGACAGTATGTTAAAAAAAAAAAAAAATCATATAAAAAAATAGAATAAAAATGTGAAAAATGTTTTTTGAAAAATTATAAATTTTCAGTTATAAATTAATTTGTTTTTTTTGTTTTTTTTACTAAAAAGAGAGATGAATACATTTTGGCCAATAATTATTATATGAAGAAATATTATTTATTTGCAAAATTTTATAAGAAAAACACTTTTTTTTTCAAAATATTTGGACTTTTTCATTTATATAGCAAAAAAATAAAATCCCAGTGGTGAATAAATACCACGAAAATAAAGTTTTATCTGTCTAAAAAAAAAATGCTAAAAAATTCATATGGGTACAGTGTTGCATGACCGCGCAATTGTCAAAGTGTGATAGTGCTGAAAGCTGAAAACTGGCCTGGACAGGAAGGGGGTGAAAGCGTCTGGAATTGAAGTGGTGGAAGTGCCTATAAAGTCCATTCAGTTCCAATACATTCTTGATAGTCTATCCAGCACGTGGCACAATGTATGAGTTTTGATCCATAGTACCACCCTATGGATATGCCTCTAATTTATAACTTGATAATAGAATAATGTTCTTTAGCAAGGAACATATATTCCATAGTAATAAATATGTTTCTGAAGCCCAGAGCCCCTAAGCAGCATTAAATCTTTAGACTGTCAGCAGATCAGCCTCTACATTTTCGGCACAGTACTGAAAAATAGAGAGCAACTGAGCATGTGCAGAGCAGGGTGAGGCAGTGTATTACTGGATTTTAAACAGTATGGGTACTTATTTTTAATGTTTTCCATAACTATATCGCAAAGGGGGGCAGTCTGAAGTGATCTAGCAGGACTAAATTTTCTGACTAAAGTTCCACTTTAGTTTAGAGGCCAAGTTTGTGTTAGACATGAATTTGGGTTAAATGCTGATGGAGGTTAAAAGTTAAAGGTTTATAGGAGAATTAAAAATGTCAAATATACAATTTCTTTTGTTTTATTATTGTGGAGTGCTAAAAAAACACCTGTTGGTCCTGCCAGTTTTTCCCCTTTTTGTGATCTTCCTGTGAATGCGTGACAATGCTAACCACAAGAATCTAATGTCCCTGACAGTGAGATTACTGGCTGTGGATGGGGAGGGGGGGGGGGGGTGCAGAGGTAAAATGTGGATGGGTGTTCATGCAGAAGTGAGCTTTGGATGGTAGAGGGGTTCAGAGATGAGCTATGGATGAGGATGCAGTGGTGAACTGTGGACAGGGCAGAGGTGAGCTGTTGATGAGGCAGGTGCATAGGTGAAATGTGGATGAAGGTGCATAGATGAGAGTTGGCAGGAGGTGAAATGTGGAAGGGGGTGCAAGGTGCATAGGATGGGTTAGGGTGCAAAGGTGGCTAGGAGGGGTGCAAGGTGTGGAAGGGGGGTGCAGAGGTGAGCTGTGGATGGGGCAACAGGTTTATGGAGTGCAGAAGTGTGCTGTGGATGGGGGGATGCAGAGGTGAGCTGTGGATGGAGTACAGAGGTGATCTGTGGATGGGGAGGGTGCAGAGTGAGTTGGATGGAGTGAGGGGCAGAGGTGAGCTGTGGATGGGGAGGGTGCAGAGGTGAGCTGTGGATGGGGAGGTGTAGCGGTGAGCTGCGGATGGGGGGTGCAGAGGTGAGTTGTGGATGGGGCAGGTGCACAGGTGAGTTGTGAATGGAGGGGCAGAAAGTGAGCTGTGGATGGGGCAGTTGCAGAGGTGAGCTGTGAATGGGGAGGGTGCAGAGGTGAGCTGTGGATGAGAAGGGTACAGAGGTGAGCTGTGGATGGGAAGGGTGCAGAAGTGAGCTGTGGAAGGGGAGATGCAGAGGTGAGCTGTGAATGGGGAGGTGCAGAGGTGAGTTTTGGATGGGGCAGGTACACAGGTGAGTTGTGGATGGAGGGGCAGAAGCGAGCTGTGGATGGGGCGGGAGGTGCAGTGAATGGGGCGGGTGCAGAGCGAGCTGTGGATGGGGCAGGTGCAGAGGTGAGCTGTGAATGGGGAGGGTGCAAAGGTGAGCTGTGAAGCATATGTGTGGATGAGGGGTGCAGAGGTTGCTAGGAGGTGGAGGAGGACAGAGACAGTGATGGCCCAGAGGAAGGGAGATGAGTACCTGCACCTTGCTGACAAAGACGCCCGGCTGTACACTAAATGTTTAAGTGAGGGAGGGTTATGTACTTCAGTGCATACTTTTTGAATGGTATGACTACATCAGCTTTAAAGAAGAACAAAACTTTTTTTTTTTTTTTTAAATTGTTGTTTCCGGCCCCCTAATTGCTAGGTTTTGGACTTACCTTCAACGATTTTCAAAGTCTTTCTATGCAAAAAGCCACTGGATAAAGTGCATGTGTGCCACAGTCCCATTCATTTACTATGGGACTGCACTCATGGGGCACAGTCACGGGCAGCACAGTGGCTAAATGGTTAGCACTTCCGTCTGGCAGTACTAAGGTCATTAGTTCGAACCCCAACCATGGCACCACCTGCCTGGAGTTTGCATGTCCTCCTTGTGCCTGCGTGGTTTCCTCCCTCTTTCCAAAGACATGCTGGTAGGTGAATTGGCTCCTGTCTAAATTGGCCCTAGTATGTGTATGTATGAATGTGAGTTAGAGACCTTAGATTGTATGCCCCTTGATGGTGAGGGACCTTAGATTGTACACCCCTTGACGTTAGGGACCTTAGATTGTATGCCCCTTGAGGGTTAGAGACCTTAGATTGTACGCCCCCCTTGAGGGTTAGGGACCTTAGATTGTATGCCCCTTGATTGTACACCCCTTGAGGGTGAGGGACCTTAGATTGTACGCCCCTTGAGGGTGAGGGACCTTAGATTGTACGCCCCTTGAGGGTTAGGGACCTTAGATTGTACGCCCCTTGAGGGTTAGGGACCTTAGATTGTACGCCCCTTGAGGGTGAGGGACCTTAGGTACGCCCCTGATGTGGGACCTTAGATTGTACCCCTATACCTTATGTAAACCCCTTGTGAGGAAATTGATGGCACTTATATAAGTACCCTTAATTGTACATAAATACCTTGAGGTTAGGGACCTTAGATTGTACGCTCCTTGAGGGTTAGGGACCTTAGATTGGTCATAGTGCGCATGCGCAGTACATGGGTATCAGTAGCTGAGGGGAATTATAACACCTAGTGAGCAGAACTCAGGGGGGGCAACAAACTATAGATAAAAAGAGCATAGCTGCCCTTCAAGATTCGCACTTGTTTTTACCACTGAGAGTCCCTCATTAAAATCTACAGCGACCCGCCACACCAACTTACCAGTGCTGACTATCTTAATAGCCAATAATGAGGTGCAGGAGGTTAAGGGGGTGAGCCAAAGCACTGACTTCATAGCGGAGGTCAGAATTAGCATAATAGGAAATCTAGAGTTTTTGGGCCTCCTAGAGGACACCTGTAACTACATACGAACACCCAAAGCTGCCTACTAATGCAAGCAAAGCAGAAGAACGGTATCTCTACAAGAACACTTTAATGCTCAACTCTAGGCGGGAGACCTAATTCTGTTAGTCCATGAGCGCTGAAGCTCAGCTGATTGGCTTATAGTGCTGCTTCCACCTCCTCCAGTCTGAGCTCTGCTGTACAGGTCTGTGAGAGGCTGACACCAGGTCAGATTCAAGTATTTTGGTTTTGTGTATTAAAAGAAAATAATGTATTTAGGTGTTCAGCTTCAAATATATCTCTATAAACATCGGCATGGCATGTCCAGACATTTTACAGTCATTATCCCTCTGTTAGGGCTCTATCACATTGCTGTAATGCTTAACACCCTCTGAAAAGTGATCTGAGGTGGACTGCTTCTAAGAAGGTGCTTTAGTAGCAGCTGTCAGGGTTTTTTTTAACACTTTGTTTTAAATTGCAGAACGGCGATTTTACATTTGGGGACCACTCTGCAACTGCTAGTCAAGTGTTTGGCTCACGGTTGTGGTCTTCTTGATCTCAATGGGCAAGTCTGACAGGCGGTGCTGCTGGTCAAACTCTGAAGGCCAAGTTAAAATTCTTGCGGCTGTGGAATACGTGCAGCCCTGTCAGGCTGTAATGTTCTAATTCCAGTGGGCGGCTGGGGGGGGGGGGGGGGTCAGCCATCTGTTTTTACTGCTCCTCCCCTGGCTATCAGTGTAAAAGAGTCCTTAACCGCTTCCCAACTGCCCTATAGCAGAACTACTGCTACAGGGCAGCAGGGCTGCACAAAATTACATATGTATGGTGATTTTTTATTTCCGGGTAGGGGGCGCGAGCACTGCACTACCCGCGCTGCCATTGGCGGCTACAGCTGTCGATCACCAGGACCCGGACGGAGATTCCCCGGGCACCTGGCGTTCGCTGAGGACCACTGACAGGGGAGATGTCTGTATGTAAATGATACAGATCTCTCCCCTGTCAGCACCAGCATGCTACTTTGTATTGCTCTGCATATTTATTTCAGGTACTTATATAGTGCCATCAATTTACGCAGCGCTTTACATATATATTGTACATTCACATCAGTCCCTACCCTCAAGGGGCGTACAATCTAAGGTCCCTAACCCTCAAGGGGTGTACAATCTAAGGTCCCTAACTCACATTCATACATACACATACTAGGGCCAATTTAGACAGGAAGCCAATTCACCTACCAGCATGTCTTTGGAGTGTGGAGGAAACCGGAGGAAACCCACACAGGCACAGGGAGAACATGCAAACTCCAGGCAGGTGATGCTGTGGTTGGGATTCGAACCAATGACCCGAGTACTGCCAGGCAGAAGTGCTAACCATTTAGCCACTGTGCTGCCCAATAGCAAATAAAAAGCAGCGCACTTACACAGTAAAGCACACACAAAATTGTAAAACAGCGCACAGTTAACCCTTTGATGGCCCCAGATGTTAACCCCTTCCTACCCAGTGTCATTAGTACAGTGTCAGTGCTTTTTATTAGCACTGATCACTGTATTGGTGTAACTGGGGATGTCAGTGACACCAAGTCAATTCCCCCCCCCCCCCCCCCCAGTGTCAGAATGCCCGCCGCAGTCAAGCTATAAGTCGCTGATCGCCATCATTACTAGTAAAAAAAAAAAAAAAAAAAAACATTATCTAATTGCCATTTGTAAACGCTATAACTTTCACATAAACCAATTAATTTACACGTATTGGGGTTTTTTTTTTTTATAAAGACATGGAGGAGAATACATTTTGGGCTAAATTTATGACAAAATTGTTTTTTTTACTGGACATGTTTAATAGCAAAAAGTTAAAAATACTGTTTTTTTTCTCAAAATTATCACTTTTTTTATTTATAGCGCAAAAAAAAAAAAACGCACAGACAATCAAATCCCACACGAAAGACAGCTCTATTCGTGGGAAAAAAAGGACATAAATTTAATTTTGGGCGCGGTGCTGCATGACCGCGCAATTGTCAGTTCAAGTAACACAGCGTTGTAACCAAAAAAAAGCCTGGTCAGGAAGGGGGGGAAATCCACTGGAGGGCGAGGGGTTAATGATGAAGACGACGCCTGACTGTATCACCTCTCGGCTGTCACATATTCTGCCTGTGTCCCCCGCCAATCAATCAGCATGTAAGGGGTTAAACGATCCAGCCTGCCGATTTAGGTACATATTCGGCTGTAGCAGCTCAGTGATCGGCTTGTCATGCCTGCGCATGCGCAGTTGCTTCAAGGCGCACGGCTTTTCATAGGATACCTATTTCGCTGCTACACCGCTGTCTTTGAAGCGCAGGTGATCCGGAAACCGGAAGTAACTTATAGGCCGTGAAACGCAAGCTTTTGAGACTGTAATCGACGTCGGCGCCGAAGGTGCGTAGGGCGTGACTTATATGTTACGCCCCCGCCCACCTTTGTAAAAGCCTGAGCAACATGGTCTACGTGGTGGGCAGATCGCCAAAACCATGTTGATATTTAGCCTTTTTAAAACTGAAAATACATCTCCCATATATAATTATCCCCCATATAATTCATCCCCCATTTTTTCATATATATTTATATAATTCTATCTCTATTTTCATATATTCTATATATATTCATCCCCCATATATATTTCATTTGATATACCCTTTGAGATAGATATATAGTAATATATATATAAAAATTATATAGTATTATCCCCCGTATATATATATAAAATACTTATTTTTTCATCCCCCCATATATATTTATCCCCCCCATATAGTATATATATATATATATATATATCTCATTTGATATCCCCTAGCCCCTTTGGAGCATGGGGTCAGTAGGGGGCCCCTCATGATAGTATTGCACCTGGCACCTTTTTCATAGGCTTTTTTGAGTTTCATCCCCCATAAGGAATTCATCCCTCATAGGGGCCCCATGATCCCCTATTGCCCTCATATAGGCCCCTCATGAGTTGTCATCCCCCCCCCCCTGCTATGCCATGTCCCCGGAATTCATTCAGAGTTTTGCGTTCCTTCGCCTTCACCTGCCGGATTGGGTCCCCGGGACTGTGAGAGGAGCCTAGCTCCCCCCCCCCGGCACGCTGCCCCGCCTTCCTGACCAGGCCATTTTTTGTGTTACGGCGCTGCGTTACTTTGAGAGGAATTGCGCAGTCATGCAACGCCCCGCACCCGCAAATGGGTAAATTTGGCTCACGAGTAGAGCTTTCTTTAGGTAGTATTTGATCACCTGTGTGCTTTTATTTTGTGCGCTATAAAAAAAAAAAAAAAAAATAAGACCGACAATAAATATATCTGAGAGAAAATTTTTTTTTTTACTTTTTGCTATTAACCCCTTTACGCCGGCCACATACATTGTGGGCAGCCTCGAAGGCCCGGTGTCTGGGGGGCCCATGGACGCCAAGCGGCACAGGGGCCCCATGCACATTGTGCAGTTCATGTAATTCAGGAAAAACCAGGCCATTTGTGCTTTAGAGCGCAGTCACGCGCCCTGTGCCCTGTGTGCCCAGTAAGAGGGACACATGTCCGGTACTCACGGAAAGGTCCCGCTGTCTGTTCTTTTTGATTGGGACCTTTCCCAATCATGTGACCGCCGTGACGACACCGTCGACGTGTCACATGATCCCTAAACCACACCCCACCTGCCCCGCCTCCTGGCGTCTGAAATTCTTAAAGGGCTGGGAGGCGCCAACAGGAAGGGGTTAAACATGTCCAGTAAAAAAAAATTAAAAATCAAATTTGGTCATAAATTTAGGCCAAAATGTATTCTGCTCCGTGTCTTTGCTGAAAAAAAAATCCCAATACGTGTAAATTAATTAGTTTATGTGAAAGTTATAGCGTTTACAAATGGCGGTATATATACTGGGATTTTTTTTTCTTTTTACTAGTAATGATGGTGATCAGCGACTTATAGCGGGACTGCGGGGGGCATTCTGACCTGGGGGGAACTGACTGCCGCTGCCATCTCCAGTGACACCAATACAGTGATCAGTGCTAATAAAAAGCACTGCCACTGTACTAATGGCACTGGGCAGGAAGGGGTTAACATGAGGGGAGATCAAAGGGTTAACTTTGTGTACTGTTTTACTGTATGCTGTGTGTTTCACTGTAAGCACACTGCTTTGTATGACTCTGCTATGCTCCGCCATACCAAGCAGTGTGCACAAGCTGACAGGGGAGAAATCTGTGTTGTTTACATACAGCCCTCTCCCTCCATTGGTAATGCTTGGCGATCACCGGGTGCCGGCGAGTAATCACTGGATGGGACCCGGTGATTGACAGCCGAGGCAGCGAATAGTCGCACAGGTAGGGTGCGGGCCCCCTACCCGAAAATCCAAAATCACGTATATATACACACACGTGAATTTGTGCACCCCTGCCACCCTGTGGCAGTGTATCTGCTATAGGGAGATGGGAAAGCGGTTAAAGGAGACTCCAATCTGAACAATAAATAATAATGAATATTGATAAAGAATTAACTGATCCCAAAAAAATCATAATAAAAATTCATCCAAAGTAAATGAAAAATAAAAAAAAAAAAAAACCTTTCTAATCAAATGTATTGTAACTGGAAGTGTAATGAACGGTCTGAACAAAACATTGATGTGTATATATCTCAGAGCACATAAGACATCTGTATGAGAGGCAGAATATCCATCCTGAAACGGCCATCAAATGTCTCCAAAAAAGGGATGAAAAATAAAAGTAATAATAATATCATTAGGAGATCAGTCAAGGAGAGCGAGCAAACAAAACGCTTGAAAATGCACCAACCCTTCTGTATGTTATATTACAAGAGATGGTCAGAGACTGTGGACATGATACAAGAGATGGTCAGAGACTGCAGACATGATACAAGAGATGGTCAGAGATGTGGACATGATGCAGGAGATGGTAAGAGACTGCAGACATGATACAAGAGATGGTCAGAGACTGCAGACATGGTATCAGAGATGGTCAGAGACTGCAGACATGATACAAGAGATGGTCAGAGACTGCAGACATAATATCAGAGATGGTCAGAGACTGCAGACATGATACAAGAGATGGTCAGAGACTGCAGACATGATACAAGAGATGGTCAGAGACTGCAGACATGATACATGCAGGAGATGGTCAGAGATTGTGGACATGAGATGCAGATACAGAGATGGTCAGAGACTGCAGACTGATACAGGAGACAGTCAGAGACTGCACACGTCAGAGATGGTCAGAGACTGCAGACATGCTACAAAAGATGGTCAGAGACTGCAGACATAATATCAGAGATGGTCAGAGACTGCAGACATGATACAACAGATGGTCAGAGACTGCAGACATGATACAGGAGATGGTTAGAGACTGCAGACATAATACAGGAGATGGTCAGAAACTTAGGACATGATACAAAAGATAGTGCAGACATGATACAAGAGATAGTAGGAGACTATGGACATGATACAGGAGATGGTTAGAGACTGTGGTCAAGTGGCAAGAAACTTTCAGAGACTGAGGGCATGCTATAGGAGTTGGTAGAGAAGAAAAATCCTGTTGGCTGCACATCCAATAAAATCACCTTTATTTGGACATATTCACAATAGACCCTCCACAATGTACAACAGAGGGAACATAGCACTCCAGCTAACGCGTTTCACTACACCATCAGTGCTTAATCGTAGCTGATTTATGAGTAAGCGCTCTACGATTAAGCACTGATGGTGTAGTGAAACGCGTTAGCTGGAGTGCTATGTTCCCTCTGTTGTACATTGTGGAGGGTCTATTGTGAATATGTCCAAATAAAGGTGATTTTATTGGATGTGCAACCAGCAGGATTTTTCTTCTCTACCATGATGTCTGCTACGAACAGGGCCAGCA